CGGCGATCTCCGCTGACGATGCCCCCGCAGAACTGGGCTTCTTTCTCGCCACGAGACGTAACGTAACGCGACACGGGCGCAGTGTGTTCGACCAAATGAAATCTTTAAATGCCTGCGAGGTGCTTTGTGCGAGGTGATGCGCGCTGACGAGTCAAGTGTGTGCCCGTCCGTTGATTCGCGCCGAGCCGTGCCGCGTTTGTGTGCGCGCGACGTACCTGAGTCAAATTCCACGTGTATTGTATTGCTCACGTGTGTGCCTCCGTATGCATGCGAGCGCGCGCACGTGTGTGTATGTGTGACTCACTCTCTCATGCGCGCATACAAGAGGGGCGAACATGGATACACGGGGGGACCCTCCGCGTCGACGTGTGTGCACGTGCAGCGTGGGTTAAAGGCGCGCTCACACTACACAGTCGAGTGAGCGAACGAGCGAGTGAGCGGGCGGGCAGTTGAGCAAGTTTTAATTAAAAACCAACGCGCGCGCGGCAAGATAGCCGGAAGTATCCGCGGCTCTCCTCCTCGTTTCGGAGGATGGGAGACAAAAGGGGGGCGGAGAGCGTCGCGCGATATCGCCTCTTCATTCCTCTCTTATCTCGCCATCTCGAGCCGCTCATTATTCGCGAGAATCGCGCGCCAATTTGCTGGAATTTATGCAATTCGACTCGACGGCGTAGCCATTAGCCACGTATCGGTGCTCAATTGTCGCGCCGCAACAATAGATACGTGTCTGTAATTAGGGTGTAATCGAGTAGCCAGCTTCCGCGTTTCTAGTTCGTTGTGTCATAGATTGCTCGCGTCTGCTCTCTTATCGTGCGTCTTCGGCGGGATAATGAATAATTTTCGGGATAATGAGTCGGGCTAGGCATTCGGGAGAATTTTCGCGCGACTTTCGCAACGCCTGTCGTCGCAGGAGCGCACGAATAATACGGCATTGTGTCGTCGAAAATCAGAGCACTTCCCTATTCGTCGAATTTACGACTGCATTGTGTTATCGGACTCGCATTTCTTAATAATCTCCTCCGCATACATCGTCACTACTCCCACTATCGTCCCCGACGACGCGCGGTGATTCACGCTCGTTGTGACAGACGCTTTAGAAATGGTTAGCAAAACTCATTCGCCGTCAAGAGAGAGAGACAGAGAGAGCGCACGACGAGTTCTGGAGGAACATCATCGGAAAGAGAGACAGATGGGCAGGGATATAGACACAGTAACAAGGAGGGAAAATGGAAAAGAGAGATCGAGAGGGACGGTAAGTCAGTGCGGCGTCGGAGGGCCCGGGCAGCGCTTCGTATATATGCGATTACACGCGGCGAGAGTATACAATGAGACGGGGGCCGAGCGGGGCCATGGGGAGCATTGCCCCATATCCCGTCCGGTCTTTTTTTTCGAAGCCTTAGGCTTGCGCTCTCGGCTTTTCCTCGCCGATCCTCGCGCGTTCTTTCCGCTCGGGATGAGCGGCGACACTCAGGAGGCGACTCGATCCGCGCACGCGCGCGCACACACACACGGAAAAGGTTAATTATGTAACGCGAACCGCGCGTTGTTTTGCAATCGTGGCAGAGTATACCTCAAATGTCAGTGGTCGACGTCACTTTGCGAGATGCTCTGCGTTCGGCGATTTTCATTTGTGGCGGGTCGATCGCGAGCAAAGTGCCGATCGCGCATGCGCTATTCGCGACTCGCTGGTTTCGCCTCTTTCTCGCGCTATTCTATTTCTTCCTCCCGCTGTTTTTCACCGCCGCCGCCGCCGCCACTGCCGCCGCCGCCGCCGCCGCCGCCGCCGGCAGTCCTCCCTCTCCCTGCGCTCTACTTGGTTCCCCCCGCCTGTCTGTCGGCGTTGCTTTTCCGTCGATGGAAATGGGCAAATATTTTGATAACCGATAACGCATGTACCCTCTCTCCGATCGCGCGTGATACGCTCGCCGATACGTTTGCGCGATTACGTATCGGCGATACACGAGTTACGTAAGAGCCATGGATCGGTCGGTGATTTATTCGCATTATGGCCAGACGATTACTAATTTCCGCGCGGCGACCCAACTCGTCTTCCGCGTCTCCTCTTTCTTTTTGAGTGCGCGCGCGCGTGTTCTCTCATCAACGACGAATACGACACGTGTCGAGAGCAGCTCTGCACTACGAGGAAACTCGCTCAGCGTTTTCCTCGTATTCCTCGCGACTCCTGGACACGACTTCTGGATCGTTGAAGCGCGCAATGTTCGCAACATATTCGCTCGCCATTCGCACGCGCGCTCGACGCTGCCAATTAAGCGGCGTTCGATTAATTCCGCGTCTTGCTTTCAGTTTTTTGTCGCGTACATTATTTCCTCGGTCGGGCGCGGAGCATAATATTGTTGCGCGCCAACATCTCAAGCTCAAGAAGCTCTTCGTTATGTCGCGGAGGATGGTGGCGATGTTATCATGTCCTCTTAAGATGTTACTTTCCGAGACTTTTAATAAACTCCGAACTCTGGATCATTAATGCAAGCTTCTCATGGTTCATTCAAGGTTGCCTTGTGATTAAGTTAACATCACTTTGATATCTATCAAGACACAACTATCCCGATAGACCGGTGTACGTAACTTCACAGCAACTTTGAATGTATTAAATCACGAAGTTCAGCAGTGCTGGCTTCCTAACGACTGATCAGATTGCACTCACATTTTTTATCACGTAATGACGAAATAAAAATATGACAGGAATGATGAAAATTTGCCCAAGAACAACACGTCGTGTTAAGGCTGCTGGCCCCTCGCATCGTTTATCTCTTTTTAATAAACGTCAGAAGCGAGAAAATGCATGCTGAAAATTCCTGCAAAATACGTTAAAATAAAAATATATATCTATAAAGTAATACTTGCACAATCGTGCAAGTAATACTTGCACAATACGTTAAAATAAAAATATATATCTATAAAGTAATATTTGCACAATCGGTCAAACAAATTTGTAAGATATTCCGTGCACTCCCCTTTTGTTCTAATCAATAATTTGTCATAAATTAAAGTGACATACAATTCATCTTCTTAACCTATTTCTTCGTCTATTTCTATTCAGGTTAATTTACAATAAATTATTGATTGTTACAGCAAAAGGGGAGTGCACGGAATATCTTACAAATTTGTTTAATCGATTGCAAATGTTACTTTATGGATATATATCTTTATTTTAACGTATTTTGCAAGAATTTTTAGCATGCATTTTCTCGCTTTTGACGTCATTAAAAAGAGATAGACAATACGGGAGGCCAGGAGCCTTAAATGTAATACGAAAATCTCAATGTAACTTTTACATAAATCTATTGCTGCATCAAGAAATTCACATTATTGTACGATGCACAAATCTAATAAGTTAATTCAATACAATATATTTACTTGAGAAATGTAATTAAGGGAACCGTAAAGTTTCCATCATCGATTTCCTCTCACGTCGTGATAATCGTGAAAGTCTATCCATGTGTACCTTACTATCTTAAGCTAACGTTGCAGTAGTATTAACGTGCTGCTCTCTGATAGAGAACATTACCGCAACATTGCATTCCCCTGCAAAGAAATTCAATTTACTGAGATACTATAGTAACATCTTAGTAATAATAATATTGACTTCATGCTATGTGAGAGAGAGAGCTGGAGGGGGGGAATACAATGGGGACGCGTTGATGCTACAAGAAAAGAGCATGCGGTTAAGAGCATGCGTTTTGTGTATTATTCGATTTAATGATCTTAAAATATTACATGACATATCCTATTTCTCTCTCTCTCTCTCTCTCTCTCTCTCTCTCTCTCTCTCTCTCTCTCTCTGTCTCTATGCCCTGTCTCTCTTTGGAATTTAATCAGTTCGAATTCAAGTAAGTGCGTATTGCCTCTTCTTATCCTCATCCTCGATATGTATCTTCGTCGCTCGCGCAAGAACGACGAGGAAGATCATGAACATCGTTGACTCGAAGAAAAACAAAAAGTTTACACTATACGCGCACATACATACGTATATGTATATATATATATGTATATATTTATTCTACTCGGTGGCCTCAAAATGTTACGTGACGTTTTTTCTTCTCTCTCTCTCTCCTCGATCCTCGTCACCTCCTTCTTCGCTCTCATTCTCTCCCCTCCTCACCGTCAACCGGAGTGTTCCTCTATTACAGGCGGAAAACAGGCAGCGATCATTATATAAAGCAGCACACAAAGGTCCCGAGCGTAATGTTACGGTATTCCGCCGGGCGGGCGGGGGCAACACGCGTATTAACAAAGATAACAATTATCATGGCGTCGCGTATACATATGTGTACGTAGCGAGAGAAAGAGAGACAAACAACTCTGTGTGTACGATACACTTTTGAGATTGACTCACGCTTTCGTGAAGGCGCGAAGGTTCTCGCGGCGATACGCTCGCGGCCGGCGATCACGCGATTAGCGCACACGGCGCGCGTCCCCCCCCGCTCCCGAGAATCACTTCACCGACCCGGCAATTACGCGAACGAGACGTCGGCGCGCGTGCACCACGAGCCGTCCCTTTTGTTTTTAAACAATCGACGCATGCCGAACGTCGCGCGCATACGCGCCCGTCTGTTCGCTCGCTCTTCCAGCGTCGAAAAATAATAAACGATGAGAGAAACAACGTCACGAAACGCGTCGCCTCCCCTCTCCTCCACCCGCACCCCGACTCACCCGTCGTCTCTGCTTCGCGACGAACATTTATTTACGCGATGGAAATGTTTTCGCGCGGAAAGAGAGCGCCCCGCGGCGGCACGGCCGTCAGTGTCTATTGAATAATGCACGCGCCATTGTGCGTCGCGCGTGATAAAATATTTAGCGGCTCCCGATGGGGGAGGATGTGTAATTGGCGTCCGCGACGATAAATAATAATAGTGAAAATCTATTCGAAAATTCGTGGGCGCGCGCGCGCGTGCGCCTAGTGAAACGTTCGCACGTTAGTTGGCGTGCGAGTCTGCGCGGGCGCGCGCGTCTCGCGCGAATGCAGTTGTTCGTGTAGATACAAGAGCGTCGTGTAGATGCGCGATCACGATATCAATGGCGGTGGGTTTTGGTGCAGCGCGCGGCGTGGCGGAGAAACGAGATTAACGCTATAAATACCAGCGTTGCGGCTCGCGGATGCCGCCCTGTCCGAGACTCGGAACTCTCGGCCGCGACTGTACCCTTAAAACATTGGAAATAGTTATGGCAGCGGTGCTCATTCCACGGCGACTAGTGGCGAGCCGAGGTACCTTTATTGATTCAATTATGTAACCGGGCTCGATTGATAGCGCGAACGGCGTTCTCGTCGCGGCACGCTCGTCGATTTGTGCGACTTGCCGACAATTTCACGTGCCTATTGCTCGGGGATACTGCTTGAAAGGACGTCAGATTAGGTTAAGTTAGATTAGTTTAGAAGTATTGTAAGACAAAAGTGCCGAGATGGCTGGGCACTAATGACATTGGTACTCTGAACATTTTTATTATTTGTCGGTCCTTAAATACGATTATTTAAACTTTCAAAAAAATTAGAATACACGTATATATATTCAGCGTATGTATATTCATATTCGATATTGAAATTTTAGATGTTCGTATGTAATGTCCGAAACAATAAGAATTCCATAGTTAGATACTAGCTACTTTTATCAGTGTCTAGGCGTTGATATTCTTACCTTTGGCGACATTCGGACAAACGAATGCGCGACAACGCACTGACGGCGCGCACAACGTGACCCAATATCGAATTCACTTAGTCGGCAATTAAAGACCTTGTTATTCGAGACGGCGAGCGAGTCCTTGAGAGTCATCTTTCCTTCGCGAGGCCGATACATCGCCGTGGCATGCGTTACGTCGTCGCGACGTACGGGCTTTAATTGCACAAAGATGATTTAAATCGCGGCGGGCTCTCCGCCGACGTCAACGTCGACGTCGCGCGACTGAAATTGCGGCCCGTACCACCGCTGAATATTCGAGCATCGATCTTTTGCGCGGCCTGTCTCTTTTACGTCCAAATCCGATCCATTTGAAATTTCGCCCGGACAAATAAAGCAGAGAGAGTAATGGACAAGTTTCCGCTGCAAAGCAGCAGACGCCCGTACAGTCCGCGTCACAAGCGCGCGCGCGCGCGGAGAGCACCGCCGCTCTCCGCCCTCTTGTCTCGTCGTGTTTTTCCTCTCCTCGGACGCACGGTATCGATGCACTCCGAATTAACAACGGCGATCTCGTTTCGTTGGCCGCGAAAGCTCGCGGACACACTGGCCGCGTCCTTCGTACGTCGGATGCGCGAAGAAAGGAGGAAACGCGCCCACAACAGAGCGGGCTGTGACAGCGGGGTGGGTGTGGGTGTGTGTGTGTGTATGCGCGCCTCTCGTTGGCACTCCAATGTGAGCCCGCGAGCGCAAAAGCCGCTGGAAACGTAATTAGCGATGGAACGATGAAGCCGATTAATTCCGCTATTACGATATACCGAAGTTCTCCGCGATAACTTTCGGGCGCTAAAGCGGGCGCGCTAACTGCGGAGTTCGCGTCGACAATTACAGAGTGATTTCCGGTGATTGATATGTACGTGTACATGCAACACGTGCGCACCCGCGCCGGTGCTGCGCTTCCTCCCCGCGGGAGTTCTCGCGGCATTCGCCGCGCCGCTGTGGAACCGCGTTGCTTCTCCTCCCTTAGCGCGTGCTTCGTTAATCACACGCGTTGACGGTTGAATCTTATACTTAGCAAAAAGAAAGGGCGATCCTGAACTCCAAGGGGCAAGGGGAGCTGCTGTTCGCCGCCGCCGTCGCACAGTAGGGTCAAATGAAATCTCATGTTTCAAAGGAGGCTACAGTTTCGAGATGTTAACCGATTTCGATGTTTATCGTTCTTTAACCGGAAGCCAACGAAATTTAGAACTATTCTGTCGAGTGAGATTTTTGTCTTTCGCTTTACTCCTCCTCCCCTTCCTTCTTTTGAATCAGCTATACGAAGGAAATTAGATTCAGAAATCTTTTTAATCATTCGGTAGATAACTCATGTCATATCTCATCTGATTCATCAAGCACGCATGTTGATATTGAGATATCAATATTCACACTCCGAGTTTGTAAACGAGCTTGAAAAGAGTCACACAAACTGACATGGACTCAGCAAATCTCATATTAACTTAACAAATGTGATTAATGGAAATAGTACCCAGGAGATTTTAGCAAACAAAAGCTACCGAATTATGTAAGACTAAATTATTTCTGTTATCGATCTTTTTGTTAATTACGGTTCTCGAAGTTATAAGTTTCGAGATTGTGCATTTATCGTAGTCATTTCACTGAAAAGAAATTTTTAGATTAACTTCTTCATGCTCGAGTTGAGAAAAGAGAAACGAAAAATCTGTTTCAACATAGTTGTTTCAAGTTTATCACCGGCTTTCATTAAAAAAGAAAGTATCGGAATCAGTTCAAATTTCGGGACCAGTGACCTCCTTTGAAACATTAAATTTTATTTAGTCCCACTGTGCGCTTTTGTACTGTGGGAATTATGCGCCGGACTGTACGCGCCGTGCGCACGGTTCGTTTGCTCTTTCGTTTGCAGAATTTTTTTCAGCGGCTGGATAATAAACATTTTTCTCATTGAATAATAAGTAGTTTTTCTAGGACAAGGGAGAGAGAGAAAGAGAGAGAGAGAGAGGAGGAGGAGAAAAGAGAGCGGGGAAGGAGGAACGGAGAAACTACTCTATGCAAAACTCAGGTCCCTCGTAACGCTCGTGTCCTGTGCTTTTTTCGTCAGTTTTCCTCCTCCTTTTCTCAGCTTAATTTTTTTCGTCTCTCGTGCGTTCCGCCGCGAATGCAAATTAATAATCGTCGCATTCTTCCGCCGAGCGAGGGATTCCTCGCACTTATCGAACGCGCGTGTCTCACGCTGCCGTTGCGCGCGTCGCTTCCACGCGACTTAATTAATTTTCTGCGAGCGCGCGCTTTATTATTGCACGTGTCGGTCACGGTCAGCATCGGGGGATTTTGAAGCGACCCCCGGGCGCGCGTCGGTAAACCTGCGCGCCACTTTGAACGTCAAGATTTTCCGCCGTTTTCCCCTTCTCTCCCTCGCCCCCTTTACCGCGATCGGTTCATCCGGCGCGCGTTACGTGTGTGCGTGCGCGCGCGCGCGAGTGTGTGTGTCGTCGCTCTGCGGTATGCTGCAAATACCCTCTAGGGAGGCGTACCACCCCCGCGCGCTTCCCTTGCGACCTCATCCCCCGCCGCGAACCGCGAATCTCTCGCGATGGTCGGCCGTACCATCCGGAGGGATGGTATTTTAAAAGCCGACTTGAACGAGCTTTCGCCGCGGCTCGAAAAATGTCTCTCGAACGAATATCTCTCCCCGCGGTTAAACCGCGCGCGCGCGATATCTCTCGACGCGCCCTCCCGCTCCCTCCTCACCCCACCACTCCATCCCACCCCGCTCGTCTCACGTGCGCGCGCGGGCGCGCGCGCTGCATCAACTCGCTACATTTTTAATATAAATTCGCGTCCGTCATCGCGTACTCACGGACACGCAGCGACGCACCACCCCGGGGCACAGACGGTTGGAATATATCGGTGTATCCACGTACATACCCGATTAATATCACATCGTAATACGTTTCAATATTCAAACGTATTTCATTAAGTATTAATTTATGTTAATTATAATATTTTACTAATGATATGGTAATATAACTACATGTTAAATGACATGTACCGCGAGAGCGGCCGCGTTATCGGTATTAATATTAATCGCACGTGCGAGATTATATACGGGAAAAAGAGAGCGCATAATTTGCGTGCTTTGAAGAAAAACTTCCCCGCTATCCCTTCGCTTCTGAACTTTCTCTTCGCGTCGGGATCGCGGAGCGACGTCGCGCACGCGTTCTCCGCGTGTCTTGTTGTTTTTCTTTTTTTTTTTTATTGCTTTCTTTTATCCCAGAAAACCGTGTCATAAATAATCGACCGACTCTTTTCCTTTGCGTTTTTGCAGTTGCTGGGCGGTGCTTGCTTCAGCCACGGCCCTTACACATTTTATAAGGCGGTGAGGATAGGTAACGGCCGCGTCCTACGTCTCGGCAGTTTCTTCCTGACGAAATTGTGGAGCGATGCCGACCTCGTCAGCATCGGGGAGCTTCAGCTGCTGTGGATGGACAGCCGTGGGCCGAATCAGCCTCTGGCGTCCTTGCGCCTCTACTTCTTACCTGAAAACACGCCGGACGGTAGGAGGGACACGCATGGAGAGGTATGTTTCCCATAGAATACATCGTATATCTTTGGACGCACGAAACAAAGCACGTGCGGCTTTGACGAATTTCAGTGTGTTCGTGTAAGTGGAGCGCAAGCAGATGTAAAACTTGACGCGAAGTGGCCATCGCAGTTTACAAAACTGCGGTGGAAACGCGCAGATACTCGAAAGAGGGAGGTTAACTTTACACGAGGAGAGATAAGGTACCAATACCCGGACATGCATCCCTAGTCCTGGACATTCTTATTGTTTTGGCCTTAAAATATAAATGTTTAAACTTTTTACACAAAATATATATACAAATATTGAACACACACACACACACACACACACAC